GCTGTACTATATACGCAAAGTGCATGTGACCGAGCTTGTGCATCTGTGACATTTTGTGTTTGTGTCTTAGTGGTTGCGTGTGTGCGCCTCCCACAGGGCTGCTCATTTACAGCAACATCTTGGCCTCTTAAAGTTTCAGTATACAGGAGTTACTTTCCCCAGCCCTCATTTGTACCATGCAGACTTGCTGATGGATGAATTGATCATTAGCAGAGACTTGTGAGTGTAGCAGGTGGCTGTTTATGTGTGTGTGAGTGTGGTGAAAGCTGGGCTGTCATTGGGTCAATAGAAGGAAGCACTGCTTCAGATTGGAAATGGAGCTCTTCCTCTTGGGGAGTATCTGTAGCGGGTGAAATAGCTGAGGGTATTAAACACAGGGCAGAATGTGCCAACAAAGCAAACATCACACCTAGGAACAGAAGTATGACACCCCATCCTTAACACCCTTCTCTCTATTTCAGGCTGTACACACATTTTACTGCTGTTTATATCTCATTAGATCACACACTCACCGTCTTCCTGTTGCCACCACTTTCTGTCCATCTGTTATGCTCTCTCTTTTCTCACATCTATCTGCAGCTCCTTGAGTATTCCCACGTGGCTTTGTTAACACAGCACTGTCACACACACCTGACATGCTGCGCGCTGCCTCGGAGCGACAGATGCTGTTCTTTACTTTGTATTTTGGCTAATCACTTTGCTGTTGCTCTGTAGCTGAAGTTATTAAAGCCTCCCGATGTGTGAACTTATAGCTCACATAAGAACGTGCAGGGCATCTCCATGGAGATAGCAATGAGCTCATGATGATGCAAGTTACAATTGGCCTTGCCCACATACATGTACGTGTCGTACACCCACGCGCTTGCTCCTCTTTTTCTGCCCTTTCTTACATGTACGTATGCACACACCAGCACCATCTCACTTTTCTGTCACAGTTGCACGTGCATTTGGAGCATTGTATGCTGGGTGCAGTTTGCATTCTGATGCATCCACGGTGCTAGAATGGCCGTTTTTAGAAACAGGAGTTGAAAACGCCCAGCAAACAACACACTCTACCTCCGCTGCAGCTGACTGCTTTAAACTCATGACATGACTGACAGCACAATGGAGATGCCAGTCAGATAGTCAGTCAGCTCGTTAGGTTTGATTGCTGATGTGGTATTTCTCACTTTCTTCCTCTGCTCCTCTGTTTGTGTTGGAGACCAGATTCTATTTGTTACAATTTGGGTTTCTGGAGGATTAGTGCTAATTTTTTTTATTATTTGTTTAGATCTTCATTTCCCAGCAAAGGATTCTCAGTCATCAGCTGTTATTTTAAGAGGGAGCCAGAGTCAGAAAATAGCATTTGGCGTGGGAAACTCTTTTACCTTCAGGTAAGATTATTAACATGCTGACAGGATTGCAGGAGGTGGAGAGCCTCATTAACTGGTATAGGATATGACTGAAGTTCTGTCATTATTATATTATACAATTAAACAGCTTTTTAAAAGGGTTGTCTTAATATGCAAGCCTGGCAGCAGAGGTTATCACCTCTCCTCTGAAAGACTTGTTTTGTCCAGAGCTGACAGTGACTTCAGTGGGTGTGAAAGAAAAAGGGGTAAATCTTCATTGGCACCTTCTCCCTAGAGCAGTGCAGGACAGAGCAGTGTCATTGGAGATGTGATGTATTTAAGTGTTTATCTGATCTGGCAGAGTACGCAGGTGTGTTAGGTGTTGGTTTGCACAGGTGCCTCTGAGAGCAACATTTCTTTTATCACCTCCTCATACTTCACCTCCCCAAACACACAGCATACACTCTCAGCCTCCAGGTAATATGAGCCTGTACTCCCCCCCCACACACACACACACTCTTGTTTTTGTCACTTAGTGGGTCTTTAAGTGGACTTACAATCATTTTCTGAAGACTTTGTTTATCTTATGTTTCTTTAACCATAACTGCCACTTTCCTAACCTTAAGTCATCTCCCTAAAATTACTGATTTACTTTGTAGGGACCAGCATTTGGTCGACATGAAGAAGGTGAGTCCCCACAGTGTTAGTGGCGTCCTGGTTTTGGGTACCCACAAGTAAAGAAGGAGTTAATGTAGTTTTGGAGGGAAGTTTTTGTAATTAGTAACTTAAATCCTTCTGTTCACAAAGGATCATACATTTAGTGGGATTTGTCTTGGTGAGACACATTCTGCAGGGACCAGCAACCAGCCTCTGGTTGCTGGCATGCATAGCACAAGGATGACAGGAATTCATTTTAGAGGGCTGTGCACATATTGAAATGTAGTGCCAAGATACTGAAAATGCCACTTGGGTAAGTGAGTGATTGAATGTGAAGCATGGTAATGTGAGATGCCCTTCTCCAGTGTAACAGTACCATTTGTCATTCATATGCATTTCTTAAAACAACCAAAGTTTACATTTAGTTTTAAAGGAAAGAAGGTTTGGATATGTAATATTTTGTATTGTCAGAGCATAAAAAAGCTATCCCTTTAATATCTCTGTGTTTACATCATTGTGGCCAACATAAAGTCAAAGAGCAGGTTCTATGGTAACTGTATACACACAGAGCGTACCAAGTGAATGACTTTGACACTGAGGTTCCTGTCTAGTGTCCGGCTAACACTCAGCCTCTTTTAACTGTGACCCTGAACTTTCCCAGACTTTAATAACTTGTTTTAATTGCCTATCCTTAACCATATGTAGGGGTATCAGGCAATGCCTTCAGCAAAGCTTTTGTTATGAATACTCAGAGTATGCTAAAATAATGATAAATTAATTGTATGAATGCACACTTTCACAAGATACTTGAATACATTTTATAGATTTGTTCATTTATTCTGTTGAGGTTTTAATCACTACGTCATTTTTTTTATAAATAGAACAGAGTGATGGGAAAAAAGGGGGAAGATGGATAATAGTTTGCTGCTGGATTAAAAACTCAAGACTTCTCATTTTCATACATGGCACATGTCCTAGACCACTAAGCCACCATGGTAGCCCTTATTAACATTTCTCTTCAAAATACCACGTACTTAACCTTCTTGTCATTTTGCCCATGTATATTGCAGTCTTGCTGAAGGTTATTCCACAAAGCTCTCTTGTGTGGGCACTTGCAAACTTGGTTCAGTGCCTGTTTTTTTTGCATAATTTAATGGATTTGTTCTTCAGTGCGTCCTTGTTTCTAGAGGTTTACAGGAAGTAAATCACAGACTGTCTAGAGCTGGGAGCACAGCGAATGCACAGGGACATGTACCCATTTGACACCAGGACTGATAAAAATTAATTCTGGATTATTGTGAACACAGATGCACGTGGCCCCCGATTCTGACTTAGTTTTTTCTCTTTTCTCTTCCTGTATTTATATGGAGGAGTTAGCTGGCCCTTATTTCTCAGCTGAGCTGTGAAGCTCAGGAAATAAGAACATATTACCTGGCACTAACTCTGCCATTGTTCCACTGGACTATCACCTTGTTACTCTCTGTCTCGTGTATTTTTAGAGATAATGCAAGGTTATTCATTTGGAAGGTTTAAGGTTATTTAAAGGGGTTACTGTGGAGAGACAGAGAGAGGTTATTGCTGAGAGAGTGAGAAAGAAAAGTGCTGCTTTTTGTTGCCTCTCCTGGCTCTGTCACCACATATCAGTTTGCTGTGTTTGGACAGAACAGACCTTGTATGAGAGAGAAATAAATGATGGGGGAATTGATATATTGAATAAAATGCATGACAAAAAGAATGAAAGGGAGCAAAGAGACAAAAGATGAAAGAGTGAGTTTTTTTTAGCGTGTAAGTAAATGGATGGCCACATCAGCTAAACATACAGTAGAGGCCGTCCTCCCACCACCACAGGCTGTGTGGTGCATCACTTGCATCAAAGCTTTTTAAAGAACCTTTCATTTCCAATAGTCTCCTCAAAGACTCTCATATACTAACTACACCGCGGTTTTGAGTGTATGTGTGTTCTCATTACATTCTGTCAAAACATTGCATGCATACATAGTCATTCAGTTGTAGTATGCTGCTCTTGTGCACACATGGAGATAGACACAGAGAAGCTGGCATTTCAAGGCGTTCGCTTCTCTGTGAGGCAAAAAAAGCCGCATGACAGACCTCGGCATGCAGAATAAAGACTTATCATCTGCCGTCATTCCCTCCTTACAGACCAGGGGATTTTGCATGGGGCTTGCTGAACCTGGTTTGAGGTTGTTATTTATTTATTTCATCTGTTATCAAGGGCTTGGGAAGCATAATGTGGCTTTGGCGAGGAGGAGTGCAATGCACTACAAACCCCAGAGTGATGGATCCTGTACCGCTTTGATTTAGGACATAATATAGAGTGATATGCTGCTCATGCTACACAATAACACTGTGCCCCATACTGATCTAATGCCAGCTTGCTGTCGCCTATCACAGCCAGCTGAGCTTGAAAAGGGGAGAAGCCTGAAATGCACCTCAAGGGCAATCTGACTGAATTAACCAGCCATTAGATGTATGAGATGAGCTGTAATTGCAGCAGTATTTATCTTTTCAGAAGAATGAGTTTGAGGTCATGATGCTGCTGCGCTGTCGTCAGGACGAGTTGACTGAGCGTGTACCTGTTTGCTCGGCCATCCTGTTTAAACCTGTCACTGCTGAACAAATTTCACTACTTATGGTGTTGGCACTGATGGTGGGTTTTTTTTTCTTTTTAATAGACCTACTCAGCAGTGCTCATTTCTCTCGCTCTTGTCACAGCCCTTGTTAATGACTGGGAGAACAGGAATTAAAAGCAACAAACGAGCTGCGGTGTGTTCATGTCAGTCAGGTGCAGTGAGAGCAGATGCTGTGAGCATTCACACCTTCATGTCAATCTGTTCTCTCGTGTTTTTTCACTTGGTATATTTGTCCTTCTTTGTCCTCTGGGTATTTTTTTTTTAATCTTTGAATCCCTGTCTGTGTGACTGGATTACTTACTGCCGTTTGCATTAAAAAACTGAATCTGACCTATACCCTCTTTCTTTCCATTTCCTGCAGGCCTGCCCCTGTTGTTCCCTCTGAAAGGAAGAGTAAGTGATGTCTCGCCACCACCACCGCTTTGAGAGGGACTACCGGGCACCCTGGGAGCGGAGAGGAGACATCCGTCCTTCTGGCCTCCACAATGGAGGAACCAGTCATAACTGTGCTTCTGCCGTTGTCAATGGCAACAACCGCCCGGGGCTCCTTCCCCTCCCAGTCATCCCCTCCCTCCTCCCAACACCAGTTACAGTTGCCGTGACAACATCCAGCGGTGACATAGCGGTCAAGCGAGGCATCACGGCAGCAGGATCAGTGGCTCCGGCATCAGCAAAGGTAAGATCCTTGTCCAAATGAATGGGGCACGGGGGAATGGGACACCTGTTTCCTCTGACTTGTCTTGGAAGCCTGTCTGTTGTTTCTTCCTGCACTGTCAGGTTTCATTCTAGTCTCCCTCTCCCTGTGTCAACTTTTTAATCTGTGAAGGCTCCCCAACTCTCTCCATGCTTTCTAGCTTCCTTCTTTCTCACTGTCATCCACTTTTCCAAGTGTTTCCTCACTGTCCAACTCACCGGCATGACTGTCTTTATGCTTCAACTATCTCAGTTCTTCAAGCTCTGCTCCTCTCTCTCTGCAGTCTCCTGCACTTGCCATCCTTATCCTTCACTCCAGTTCTGCTGCTCTCTCTGCACTCTCTCTATCCAATGACCCTTTCTTGCCAAACCAATTTCCTTCCATCTTCATTTCGTCTCTCTGCCAAATGGCAGGCTTGTCCTGCCTTTGCCTTCTTATTCATTTTCTACTTTCATTATGTTAATGACCTCTGACAGTAATGGATGCTGCTGTTGCCAGTGATGGTTAGAGGTGGTGCCTTTTTAAACAAGCAAACAAAAACAGGACCACATTATATAAGCCCTGAGTTAATATCACATTTTTTACCAACTGTTTCTCTTCTCTCCTATTCAGACCTCTTGTTTCTTAATGAAGGAAGCTTAGGTATAAAATGTCATCCGGTTATAGTGACCATGATATCTGATCCAAAAAAATGTTATACACCAACTTCTAATGAGGGCTCAATTGACAGGAATGTTTGAATGTGGCTTTGGTATATACATTCCTAATGCAACTATATGTCATACTGTGTTGTGTTTAGACTTACTGCAGAAAAGTGCAGCTTGGAAATGTCTGAGCGTCATGGTAGCCGTACAGTCTGTGTACTCACCCCCTCGTCTGGGGACTTGCTAGCTATCTGGCTGTCAGCAGCGTGTGAAGACAGGGGCCTTTACCAAAACAGAGTTGGGTAGTTCAGCATGTCTCCTGCCTTTGCTTCCTTGGATACCATTCATCTTATTTCAAGACTCCTCCCCTCTATGAGATCATTTGCTTTCATTTGAACTTCAGCAGATTCATCTGGTGCCTTTGCTTATTCGCTGGCACCTTCTTTGGAGCCTGCATTCTAAGAGCAGAGGTAAACAATGCTCTGGTAATTTAACTCGTAAGTGCACATCATTAGACACCCTGCTGAATGCACTGACCACAGACACAGTAAATCTGCTCTGGCACCGTGTCGGCCCCTCCTTTAGTGTGGCTGAATGATTACATACATCCCAACAAAGTCTCGCCAACTCCCTACATAGCCATTGTTATCATTCAATGGCTGCCACTGCAATTAGGTGCCTCGCCTTGCACATGAGTGCACATTTGTTTAAAAGTACAGTATATGTGGGAATGTGTGTGCGTATATGCAGGAGATATTATGTAGATATATCCCTAGATGCCACTCTGTTAGCTTTATTCAGGGATTTACCTTTCTGCTTTGTCTTGCCTTTGACAGTCTTTTGTAAGGCAGGCAACAGAGACCAGTAACGTTTAAAAAGGGAAATACCCAGAGTCTGAGCTCTGCTTTAATTACGCCATAGAAAAGATACAGTAAAGGGGCCTCAGGAGCTGGCCAGCACCATAGGAGCCTGTCTTTCTATCTTCTTCCTAGCGTTCTGCTATCCTCACTGGCTCCCTTTCTCTCCTTCTGTCATTCTCAATCAAAGCCGCTGGAGTTCACAAAGAGTGCAATGGACTGATGCAGCTCTAGTTCCATGGTCCCTGTGTCTTGGCTCTGTCCCTGGCCACACTAAAAAGCTGACAAATTGTTATTGATCTCTACAGTTTGGGGACTCTCTCTTCATAAATACGGTGACCCTAGTGTGATCCAATAGCTAGACATGTACAGGAGTGTGTGTGTGTGTGTGTGTGTGTGTGTGTGTGTCAAAGTGATTGTCCTGCATATTACGCTGTGCAAATGGAGTAGTCCCTTCCCTTAATATAAAATTGGATGCATAAATGATATTTTGTTTTAGCCTTACTTTGATGCTAATCTGTTTTTTCATGTTTTCTTACTTAATGCTCACATAGAGAGTTACTGTACCTGATAGTTCTCTGTGTGTGCATGCATGAATATAGTGTGTGTGGATGTGTGTAGGACAAATGCTGAGAGTTGAAAAGTACCATCTGGCCACATTGTCCATTCTGATGTAAAGCTAACCACATGGAACAGTGGATTATAGTTAATTCAGTGCTACACTTTATCCTCTGCCAGGCCGTTAATGAATTGTTATGTATTTTTGTGCCATTGTCACGCATGTATAGTCACTGCACACAGTAAATCCATTTGGTTAATAACCACAACTATTTCTGTGTCCTGCTGATTAACAGGACTTCTGTGTATCAGCACAAAGTCCAGTTTCATTGTGTATGCCATCCCTCTTCTTCTGAGTGATACTGTTATCCACAGGATCACTGCCTTAGAATATTAATTCCATTCAGTTTACCATCCATCCATCCATCCATCAGCTATACCCACTTATCCTTTACTCAGTTTACTAGGTAACAATTAAATGGTCTACTTTCAAATAAAGTTATGGCATATATAGTAGGTTCTCTGATTTGCAAACCTGAACAACACTTTGAGTTGAGCTGTCTGCAATGTTAGATCAAGACAGACCTTCAGTTACAAAAGAAAACAAAAAAGCAGCATTTTACCATGATATACAGTAGAAAAAATGAAAATTTGTGCTTGGTTAAATGTGTGTACATTTATGTTACTGCCTGTTATCAGAATCAGAATGAGCTTTAATCGCCAAGTGTGTTGAGCATAGAAAAATTCGTCTCTGGCACAGAAGCGTGGGAGAAGGATGAGAGGCAGTATTCATAAACATATACATATATACACATTTTGACTGGTGCATGTAGTGGTACTATTTCCAATTATTGCACTGCGGTGGTTGCCGAGTCCTGTTGCTTCAGTCATAGTTAGCTTTTAATCAAAGTGATGATCTGGGGGAAGAAACTGTCCTTGTGTCTGGTTGTCTTGACATACAGTGACCTGTAGCACCATCCAGAGGGGAGGGGTTCAAACAGTTCATGTCCAGGATGTCAGGGGTCGGCAGAAATCCTCTCCCACCCTCCTTTTGACCTGTGAGGTGTACAGGTCCTCTATGGAGGGCAGGCTGGCACCGACGATTCTTTCTGCAGTCCTGACTGTCCACTGGAGTCTGTTCCTGTCCTGTTTGGTTGCTGAACCAAACCAGACAGCAGTGGATGAGCAGAGAACAGACTCAGTGATTCCTCTGTAGAGCTGTATCAGCAGCTCCTGGGGCAGGTTGAACTTCCTGAGCTATTATATTATTGAATATGAGTAAGGATTTAAAGCTGGAGATGTAATTGGTAACACATAATATTACTTTGTATCTTCCCACAGACGCCCACTGAAAGACTGATTTTCCTTGGTGTTAATCCCTTAATATAACATTTTTAATCCGTCCTCTCCTGATATTTAAGATCTATAATGCTGGACTTTATATTTCTTTTCCCAGCCAGTACTGATCACAAATGCAGGATGTTAAAAAATATGTAGTTACAGTATATGTTGATCTAAACTGAGAGCCAAATACCAATAGCAGTTGGAGATTTTAGTGGGTTCATTGGCATTTTGATTGACTTAGTTTACATGTTTACTGTTCACTTTCTGATCTGCACAGCAGTTTCACACCAGCAGACTACAAACTCTTTATTTCGCATGTAGCCATGTCCTTAGCTTATTGTTGCTAGAAACAAACTCTTGGTAATTGAGTTATTCCTCCAATATTTGGGCTTATGCCATTTTGGTCATGGAGCTGTAGTATTGTTATTCATTAAGGGGAGTTCAAGCTGAATATGACAGAGATTCTGTGAAGATTGTCCTGACCTTATAATATTGACAATGCAGAAAAAAGTTGCCTTTTAATTATGTGACTAATTTGTGGAAACATTGTTTTTGAAATATGAGTACATAATTTGGATTATCATAAAAATATATAATTGTTCTCATTTGTAAGTCTGATTGTTTGCACATTGTATTAAGTTCCCAGCAATTTATTTAACAGGCCCAGCACTTGCATAGGTTTGTTTGGACAAGCTTGTCCCATGTTCTTTGTCCAAGTCTGATTGTTTCAACTCTCTTCCTTCCATCTTGTTTATTTTGGTGTGGGCAGGTAGTATTATATCAAAGTTATGATGCTACAGTACTTATCACTTATCCTTTTGGCTTCACTTTGAGATGATATTAGGTGTTTGTGCACATTTCAAATGAAGCTCCATTGCTGCCCTCAGCCCCATAACTCTCTCCGAGTGGACATTAAATGCTGTGCCACCATCCCTGGCTTAAAAAAAAAAGCCCTAATGTCTAGCTCTGTTGCTAATTCTTTTATATGAGAGGACATTTTTCATCTTTTTTTCTTTCATTGTATTTGCACATTTTTCAGTGGACTGTTTTTAATAGTTCTGTGTGTGTAGCTATACGGTATATATGCATGTGTGTAACTACTTTGAGATCTTTTTAAGCATCTTTGAGTGCTGTATAAATAAAATGTGTTATTGTTATTAATATTATTATTATACCTGCTGCTGGCAGTTCATGAATGTGAGTATCAAGGCCAAATGAAGCATTCTGCTCTGCTGAGCACATATTGACAGAAACTGCTGTGCAATGATTTCTCTTGATTGGCTTATTTATTGTAACCATTGTCCTTGTCATTGTCTGAGTTTAAAATCTATGATTGTGTGAAATTAGAAAGCAATGTGTTTATGTACTTCTGTTTTTGGAAAAGTCTTATTTGAAAAGCCTATTTTTAGTTTTGCTATAAAAGTTCTCCTTCTGACTCAGGTAAGCATCATAGGAAAAAAAAAATCCAATTTCCAAGCATTGACATCACCAATCAATAGAGCTCATCTTGAAACAAAATCAAACTTTGTGTCTTCTTGGACATTGATTTTCAGCCAGGTCAGCTTCTGTAGCCAATGGA